CTGCTCTGACTACGGTCCAAATTCTAAAGTTTAAGCTCTCATTTAGGGACTAAGTGTCCTAAAACACTCCGAAACTCAAAATGAACCTTCCCGGCAACTCACAATAGCAGAAACAAATATGGGAAAAGCAGTTAATAGGGGATTGAGGCGTTAATTCTTAAAACGACTGGTCGGGTCGTTACAAAGATTTAAATGACTCATCTTCACATTCCTCGCAGTCTTGCACTATATACACACACCATAGGAAGAGACATAATTTAATAGTACATATTTGATCAACTAATGACTTGTTATTACCCATATGAACCTACTTCATGGGATCTCCAATCACATAGGTTGGGTTACCATCATTGTTGATACATCTTAAATTGGCAAAAGTCTCAACCCCTCGATATTTCACTTATAAGTCAAAGGATCGGCCAAATCCTTTTTTGACTACACATAATATGTATAAAAAAAATTCATCTCTAAGCAATTGCTTTATGATATTATATCTTATGAAAATGTGTCTACTCTTTCCATTGAAAGATTTCTTTTCTTACAATGGTTATTGCGCCTTGGCAATCACAATTTATCAACAAAAATATTATCGGCTTAATTCCTAGTGGAATACTCACCAAGAGGTTCCTTAATCAACCTCATTGCCAGACAATTCCAATATCATAATACCCACCAAAAGGTGATCGCACAACAACTAGCTAATTTTTTTCTCATCTGAATCAGAGATTCAATATCATCATTGTATCATTCTAATACATTAGAAAATTCACATACAGAATACTAACTCATAGTATTTCTCAAGTAAGGCAAAAAATCATCTCAAATGAAACGAAACTTGACTTCCATACAAGTGCTTTTTGAAACATCTTTCAACACATATAAGAATTTATTTTCTTTTGGTATTTTTCATATTCAAATACAATATTTTTTCTCATTATTCCTCTTAGTAGGAAACTAATCATAGTACGGAAACTCATAATTCAATAATTTCTTCATCACCCAAATAACAAAGAGATCCAAAGCAAAAGAATTTTTCAGCGCCAAAAATATAATATATTTTTATATTTCAATACAAATTTTCGCCACAACAAATCTCAATTTTTTAAGGATTTGTTACAATAATTTTAATAAATATTTTTTCTCATTATTCCCCTTATGATCAGGCTAAATCGTGGCAATACATTCTCGATCCCCACACTTTCGAAAATTTCAGACCATTAAGGAGATAATCTTTTCACTCATAAGGAGTTTCATCTTATAAGTAACAAGCTAATAATATAGCTTCACCCAAAATACTTAATCTCCGAATTAGAAAATATGCATGTCAAGAGATATCAAATTCATGACCAAAGGTCACCAACCTTTAAATAGTATATAAACGTAAATATCATTTATTCTCATGATCTCAAGCAGCATAAACAAGTTGTCCTTTTGACATGTTAGGAAATTCTGCAACTACCGAAATAACTAATATTATGTTGCCTCTTCAAGATGTTAAAAGAGAATATTTAAAACACTCTACATCAAAAGAACTACAAAATCTATCTTTCACTATGCAAAATGCACATACAAATTCAAGACAGCAAATAATGTACAACTATAAACACATCTAAAATTGAAAGAATATTATATGTATCATCCTGATGTCAAAATTTATCTGCCTATTATATTCTCACGAGAATAAGCATGAAAGAATAAATATTGAAGAGATATATATTAGTTCAATCATGCATACCTGACACTTAGATATAATGTTACGCAAAAACATATAAATTGGAAGATATTACTCTATGTCTTTAAAGTTCATCAGAATTCCATAAGTAGTATTCTCTATAAGATCATTGTGCAAACTTGAAGAGTAGATCCCATTTTTAGAATTAGAACAATGATTTGGACTGTGTCAAATTTGATTCTCCATAATAATAAAAAAATATGGAAATATCCTTAAGATTGTTGGGAAAATATTGGTTATGGAGAATAAGAATTAACAAAGCTTGAGGCGAAGGACATTGTCCTTAAGGATATTTAGCCTACACAATAAAGAATAAAATTAGGCGTATCCCCTATGATTCAACAAGTTCTTCCAGTTGTTAAACTAGGAACAGAACTAGTAGAAAATTCAATAAAGAAACCCAGCATAGAAGCAGGAAGAAAATGATTGAGAAAAGTGTTTTAGAAAGTGTGTCTTTAGCTCTCCAAAGACCGTGTTTATATAGGTGTTGTTCCAACGGCTAGTTAACGGCTAGTTTGACTCAATTAATTGTAAAATAACTTATTAAATAATAAGTAAATGTAAATAATATTTCAAAGAGAAAAGATTTTCCAAAGCAAGATGAACATTACCTTTTGAAATATCACTAATTTTCCAACACTACAACCCTTACAACTTATTTGCATGGTTGTTACCTATTGTATTGTATCGTATCGTATTATTACTTTAAATACGATGTTTGTTTTGACTGTTACTTCAATTTTATTGTATCTTATCGTTAAAATCGCCGGTACGTAACGACGAAATGTGTCACTTTATGTAACGACCGATTTAGTGTGGTTGCGTCATTATCTTGTCTTTTTCTCTCATCTCACCCTTCATTATTATTAAATAATTTTATTTTATCATTTATCCTACCTTTTTATATAATAAAATTATCTCGTATCATTTTTTTTTATAATATTGCAAGTTTATTCTTCATATTGCTGGTGTGTGATATCATGAAACAACAACAAATGATATAATCTATCCAAACATTATATTTATCAAACATACAGTACAATAAAATATAATGTGATACATTATGAAACGATGTGTAACAACCATCCAAACAAGTTGTTAGTGGTGATATGTTAAGGTGGCAAAGTATGTGTTTCTTTAGTAACTCGCCAAGTTTAACAGTTGAATTATGACCTCTTTGTTAACTTAACCAGTTTGGTTGAACCCAAGATGACCCATCAAACTATTGGGCTGAATTTGTCAAAATGGAGTGACTAGACGGGTCAAAAAGCAATCCAAATTCACACACAAAATCTTTGAAGATTACGTATAATTTGAAGAAGGAATTTTTACCTCCTATAGCAAAGGTTAATACCTTATTTATTTTAAATAAATACCATTTAAAAAAATTATATTCTATAGATACAGTTTAATGTTTATAGCGAAATATCTAATTTTGGTTACCTCCTACCCCTATGCCACTAAATACGCTATTCAGTTATACTATTTTCGTTCTCTCTCTACTTTGATACATGTCATTCTCTTCCCCCATTCCCTGAAAACACGATGCTCACATCACCTCTCTGCACCAAAACCCCTCTTTGTTCTCTCCACAGAGAACTTCCCCTATCTCATACTATCCATTTTTACTTCATCCCAATTCAATTGAGAAGCGAGAAGTTGTTGACGGTATGTACTCGAAAACGATATGCTAGTTCTCTCCACAGAGAACTTCCCCTATCTCATACTATCCACCCCTGAACTATTCCTCTCTAGGCTCGTCGTGCTAACAGCTATGGGAATTATGATGGCCACTATGTTTCTGCATCCTAAAGACAACATTCAAGGGATCACAAGTCGCCTCAGTTTCTTCATCTTTACATGTACACTATTTTTCTTCTCGTCCAATGATGATGTTCTTGCTTTCATTCAAGAACGATTTGTCTTCATTCGCGAGAGTTTTTGCTCGACGGCGGATTTGCTGGAAATTAGGATTTGTTTTTTAACAAAGACGACGGAGTTTGGGGCTGAGCAACTTGATTTTCTGTTAATATATTTCAATGTATTTTCAACATATCACGTTGTATTTTCATATATATTATTGTATTCATTTTCTTTTTTTTCATTGTAATTCAATGTATCTTACGGTATTCCGTATATTTCATTGTATTCACTAATCTTTTTTTCATAGTATTTCAATGTATCCCGCTGTATTTTATGTATTTCATTGTATTCACTGTCTCGCTATATACCATGAATGTATTCATATGTTTTTTTAATTAATATAATTTATGTATTCAGATGTATTATATAATTTTTCTTAAGATTGCTACGTTTTGGGGGTATTTTTCGGTTGAGAATCTTTTTTATAACTGAAAATACAAAATTTATGTGTTATAATTGAGTTTGATGAGTTATATTAGGTGTCTATTATGTTAATTGATTCACTTTCCGTTTAAAAATAGTGTAATCCCCTATTTCACGCCGTGAATACAGTCGAATACAATAATCTATCCAGCTGTAATCACATGTTTCACGCCATGAATACATTCGAATACAACAATTGATTAGCTGGACTTTCCTGATTCACGCCTATTTTTGCTACTGTATTCATGAATACAATAGCTTAAATACATCTAATATATTTTATAACAACAAAAAACGTATCTACAATCCGTAATATAGCAAATAGTATCTATAAATAGCTAAATTACCACTAAAAGATAGTGCTTTACGAAAATTTCTCTTCAAAGAACCGACTTGTCAATTTGACCCGTTTAAACACGCTCATAACCTATTTAATATGATCAGTTTTGATTTGTCTAAATTTAATTCAACCCGCTCATTAGTTACCTCCAAAGCAACTGTATTCTTATTTTCCATAGATGTATTCAATCCGACCCGTTTGCTGGTACTAAGATAGGACCCAATGTTGGCCATTGGAATACAGTCCACAAAACCATCAAACTCTAAAGAAAAAGGTAAAAGTGGTATAGAGCTTTTTCAAATCCGAAACAGCTTTTTTAAATCCGAAGCCTTTAAACCCCTTTCGTCCCCAAAACTGATTTTTATTGTAGCATTATTTATACCTCGTGCACATCCTCCTTTGTCAGTATTGATTCCACTTTATTCAATGGCGTTAAAACTCAATTTTTTTACTAACTTCTAGGGTAAAAAGATATAAAAAAATATGTAAAAAAAGTAAAAAATATCTCTTTTCATGCACACACATTCAAAAAGCCACAGCCCCCAAAAGATTCCTGAACCGTTCACTCTTTGGTCATACGTGTTGTTTTCAAAATCTACTTTTCATATCTGTGTGTTGTCCTTTAAATAGAATTTAAAAAACATGGTACAACCAATTATGCACATTGTACAATAGGCAGAAGCATGAAAGAGAGAGAACATGGACAATCACATGGGTGTTGGTGAATAGGGCCCACAAACCATGACAAATAGATAAATTGATGAATAGGCCCCACAATCAAGTGTCAGCGCCATCCCATGTGCTTTTCTTTTCTTTTCCCTCTAATATATTAAAGAGGGGAAAAGGACAACTGCAATGAAGAGACAAATTCCTATAAAATAAAAAAAGAAATTACAATTAAAAAGCAAATACATTAAGAAAAAGACACCAACCAATCTTAATAATACATGAAATGAAACTTACTCAATTTTCCTCCTCTTTTTCTGTCCGTTTACATCTTGATTGATATTACCTAATGCTTATCAAATTACAACAAAAGGTTGAAATGAAATAAAAAAAAGGGTTAGCTGCTACATATGGTAGAGACACTACCATTTCATTTTGTACCTAAAAAGCAGCTGCTACTACTCCTTATATAATACTAATATAAAACTATATGCTAAAGCATAATAGTATTAAACCCCTTTTGAAGGATACAATACAAAGTTACAACAAAACACTTATCCTTTGCCTACTAAGTGAGTATTTCAAATTTACTTATATGGCATTTTCTTGAATTTACCTTCACTTCAAGTCTTGATTAGTCTTCTGCCTTCTGCATCCTCTGTACAACTGATTACAACATCATAAAACTTGGAGAGAAAAAAAAAACACTAAACCTTTGGGATGTCACACTAACACCCAAGAATACTGAGGGAAAGAGGAAGAAAATTACAGTCCCAAAAGTTGATGCTTTGGATTTTTCTTTTCACCTATGACTAATTTTCCTTTTGTCTTTTTCTTTTAAACTGTGGTCCAGCCTCAACTATCAGAAAGATATGAAAAAAGATTTCAAAACATTACAACCCAGAGATGGGAAATGGCTGTCACACATCATTCTTTATATATGTATGCATATTTGTATAGTAGTAGTAAGTAGTGTATGTATTTGCTGTCTGCTGCTGGCTGGTTGGTTCTTGATACAGTAGTATTTTTGTTTTAGGTTACATTCGTCATCTTTCTTTCCTTCCTGTGTAAAACATGACCAGAAAAGACCAAAAAACAAGCAACCAACATCAATAAAAGAACCAAGTACCAAGATGTTGGTATCTAAAGGGAAAAAGAATTAATTAATTAATTAGCCAAAGGATAAAAAATATATGTGACCACTTACCTAAACTAAGGAAGCTAAACTACGCAACATAACAAGCTGTCCAGGCCTACATTCCAATGGTGCCATGTCCTGAAGGGAACCTGCATTAATGTCCATTATTGGACTTTGCTTAATATAATCATATCATATATAAACAAATAAGGAAGGATCTATATTAAGATACAATAGAGGGGTAAATTTGAACAAACGTTTTCCCTTTATAAAATATATACTGTATAAAAAAGAGGATTGGACAAACAAAGTGAAGTAGTGAAATGCACCTAGGCACTTGGAAGTAACATGATTTGAAAGGAGTGATGTCTAGTGCAGTAGTAGCAGGAAACAAGGAGGAAGAAGGGATCATATTATTGTTAGCAGACGATGATGATGCATTTAATCCAGCACCTTTGTCACCTTCTCCAACAGTAGCATCATTTGAGAAAGTTGTGATGAATTCTCCAACAGCTTTTGGTGATGCAAATGGACTATCTGGCAGATTATGCTCCAAACTGCTCAAATCAATCATTTATTGCTTGAATCAGAATCAGACAACAGAAGGAAATGCAATTGAGAAATTTACCAAAGTCCGTTAACAGAGATGTATCCAAAAGTAATAAATATTAGCTTTCGCCAATTTTTAATAATAAGACAATGACCATTACCTTTCTTGAAAATCATTTTCTTCCTTCTTGGAACTTTCTTTGCCATTGCTATTTTCATCTTTAGATGTGTAGCAGTCCCTCTCCTTTGCAGTAAGATTTGGGTTCTTTTCTTCTGGGGAAAAAGCAGCAAAATTGGCCATTTTTGGAGCAAAACCATTCTCTGAAACAAAACAAACACCAACTATCAACATCTTCATTCTGAAATGAGAAATCTTAGGCTAAAAGCCTAAAACCCCATTTCCATAATTATTCAATCCATTCAATCAACTAAGCTTCCATTTCCACCTAGTTAGTGTCAACAAAATCTATCCCTTTTTAGTAACCGAAAAATCTCCTATGGCTAGCTCGACGGTCCGAAATTTACTGGATAATTTCGCTTAAATGCCAAGTGTTCGAACTGGCAACATGTGCATCGGCAACATCTATATCTGTATTCTTTTCACTCTATTCAGGCAAAAATCAAGATATTATACCTTCTATGGCTTCTCGGCTGCTAAGGTTGGGGGAATGAACAAAATTTTGATTGAAGAAGCCTGGAGAGTGAGGTGGGGACGGGATAACAGCTCCCAATGAAAGGGCACGGTGATGGTTGCTCCTCTTGACATCAAGAAGCTGTAAATTCATCAGCCTCCTGCTTTGGAGCTCAATTGCTTGTTGCAGATCAGCTTGTTCTTCCAATTTTCTCCTCAACATCATGTCTTGACTATTGTAAAACATCCTTGCACCTATTTAAAAAAAAAAAGCAATCAGAATAGGTAAATGAACTTAGCATTTAAAGGTTAAAACTTTTGGGAAGCCATCACAGTCTACTAACAAAAGAATACCAGAGATTGGTCCCTACTGCTGTTACATACCAAGCTGAATATCAAAAGGATCTCTGGAGTCTAGGCCAGTAGGACTACCACATCCAGTGAATTCTCCTCTCTCCATCTGCTGCTGTTGCTTCCTGCAATTGAATTACACCAACCAAGAGAAATATCAATATAAAGAATAAAAGGATCAATATAAACTACATACTTGTAACTGAAGGAATAATACCTAAACTTTTCTGGGACTTTGCCCTTCTCTTTGTATGGCTTGACAAGCACCCTAGCATCACATACAAAATGAGGATTTCCTTTGGCAAGAATGGTCTTCACAGTGTCTGGATAAACAAATGTAACAAAACCAAACATCCGCTTTTGCTGGTATGGGATCCTCACATCTTGAACAGGCCCATAAGTGCTAGAGAAGGCAAGAATAAAAAGAATTAAGAAACCAGAACTTTCAAAAAAGGCCAAGCTTAATTCATTTGAATCAACCAACTATACCTGAAATAATTGGAAACATCCTCTTCTTTGAAAGTACTATCAGCAGGAAAAGTCAAGTAAATTTGCCTAGAACCTGGATTTGCTATCCCAGCTCCACCATTCAACCCAAAATCCCCTCTTTCAAAACGAATTCTGTTCAACTTATGCATGTCATCACCCATCATCAATGCAGCAGCAGCAGCTGCTCTGTAGAAATTACCAGCCAAGAATCAGTCTAAAGTTTCAATCCAAAGACCAAAAAAAAGGGTTTTGTTTTCAAACCTGGGACTCTCAGCAGACTGCTGCAACTGTTGCTGCTGAAGAAAGTTCATGCATTTGTTAGCAGCCACAGGAGAGAAAGGGAAGTTAGAAGAAGCCATGAGCTGAGAAGCAGTAGTTAGTCTTTGCTGCTGAGATGTTGACTTAGATCTGAGAAGTTGTTGACAATGCTGCTCCATCATCTCAAACTTGCTAGGTGACCCCACAACTTCAGATACCACCTCTCCAGCACCATGTAGGAACCTACAGCTACTTCCATTCTTACAATACCCTCTAGCAAAATACAGACAAGGTTTCCAACCAAATCCCCCATTTGGGTCATCACCACCTAAAGAAATATCACTCACAGAGCAACTCCTTCTATGGGAGAGGCCGTTGACTGAGTTGCTACCCCAATTGAATGAAGAGAAATCCCCACTTGGACTGGAGGCTAAATCTTGCTGCTGCTGCTGTGGGTAATAAACGTCAGGATTTTTAGGACCCAAGGTTGGTGACCCATCATTCAAGAAAGAAAGCTGGTCCTGTAGTTGAAACTCATCTATCAAATCCATTTCTCCACTGCAATAAAAGGGTGGAGCAGAGGAATTCATAGTGGAGTTGCTGATTCCATTGGTGGAAGCACTAGGACTAACTAGATCAGTTTCTTGGAAGTCAGAGAAGCTAGGAGTAGTATTACTCCAAGAAGCTGAAACAGTTGAAGATTGGTTGTTACTAGTTATGCTAAGAGGTGAAGGAAGGTTTATACCACCAAGAATCCTTCCACCAGAAGAAGAATTCTGCCTTGAAAAAACACCACTAAAAGGTGAAGGTGAAGAAGGAGTTGAAGGTGTAGAAGAAGGTGAGTTTGAGGCTAGGCCAAGTTCTTTTCTTGCTTTAAGAATCACTGAGTGAACTAAAGCCTCTGGACCAAAAGCTAACCTGATCATTTCTTTCTCACCATGGTCTTGTATCAGAAGAATCCCCATAACTTTTGAGGCATTTTCAGGATCCAAATTTTGAATCCTTTGGTAAACTATTTTTGTAGCTTCATATGCATCCATAATTTTCAGTCTCTTTTAGTGTTGGTAGTAGATTCAACTCCAACCCTCAAACTTTTCCTGTTTTTCTTTGTCTTTCTTCAAGTAAAGACTGTCAAGAAAAAATCCTTTCTTTTTCCACCACCAACTAGCAAATATACCAGCTGTTTCTTAACAGGATTCAAGTTGCTCTTTTTCTCTTGGTCTTCCTGCATAAAACAACCAAGAAAAAGGGAAAAGAAAATGTTAAGAGAAAAGTGGAAATCTCCCGTGGGGGAAGATGAAAAAAGGAGAGGTTTTCATAGGGTTCCCTAAGTTGAAAGAAAATAAGGTAGTTGTATTTCTCTATAAAGAAAGCTGAAAGCTTTAGTTACAACAACAAACTACAGACAAGATAAGAAAAAACCAGGAAGCAAAAGAAAAGAAGGAAAGAAGAGTAAAGCTGGAAACTTTCTTTCTTTACCACAAAGATTAGCACTGATCTCAGAAGTACAAGAGCTTACCCATAAAAGATTTCTCCCTTTTTCTACTACAAAATCTTTCAACTTCCTCTTTATTTCCACTTTCTTCAAATTTTCCTACATGGGGTTGTTAACAAACTAGACTATAAACTGCAAAAGAACTAAACCACGGCCCCTCTATATTTCTATGAGCAGCCTGCAAGTATCAGCAGTAGTAACAGCAGCAGCAGTAGCAGCTTGACAGCAACAGAAACAGCAAACCCATAAATATTTACTAGTAGCAACAGTGTTAGCACTTAATTTCAAAAACACCACCCACCCCCACTTAAAAACAACAGCTTTGTTTTTTGTGTTTATGGAATAGTGAGTGAAGCTATAATCTTTCTTTCTTTATCTCTCTATACAGATATACTAATCTTTTTCTCTTTCTTTCAAGGAGATTTAAAAAAAAAAATCAGAAAGAAAGTAAGAAGAAAGAGAGGTGAGTAAGTGTGTGCTTAAGTGGATCCAGATCTATTGCACGTTCTCTTTGTTTTGCAATTTTAGCCATCTGACACAGTGAGCCCTCCATATTTCCTCTACTTTCTTCTCTTGTAGCTGCACCGAGGGTAGTGAATAATCCCAAGCGCGGTTTCCAGGCGGGTGTATTGCACTCTCCCATGACAGTTGTGGGACCCATCTTGGGTTTTTCATACTCCGTTGTCTTCCATTATTTTCTTGTTTTCACCCGCCGCATATATAAGGTTTATAAACGAAAAGGTATTTCCTATTAAGACTTTTTTTATTCTTAAAAAGTAAAAAAAAAAAAAAATATTCATCTCATTATAATTGGTGGTTTATATGAATTACTTCCTCAATTTTAAGTGTATCATAAACAGTCTCTTTATTTACCTTCACAAAGACAAGCGTAGGGTTAACACTCTATCTTCGCCATACTTCATTTATGAGATTTTCGTTGAGTTTGTTATTGTTATTTTATTATTCTCTCAATTCTAATTTATGTGGCAATTTTTTCCTTTTTGATATGAAAAGAAATGTCACCTTTACTTATTTAAAAATTGTATACGGTGAAAATCGGGGCTACCCGATTTTATTCTTTGGTCGAGATAGGAATGTCACGTCGAAGAGCTAGGATGTCGAGGTCGACCTCGATTGCGGACCAAAGAGAGGCAGACTTTGAGTGACACCGACGTAGCTCGATAACGGAAAAGGAGAGATATCCGTAGTTGATTGAGAATCGTGGCGTGAATCTTAGAACGGATCGATCTGCAGCGGTTAATTAGATGTTAATATGATTTCCTAATATAATTAGAAGTGTACCTTATTTAGGACTCCCTTATTATATAAAGAGGGATCTCATTCATTTGTAATCATCATTGTTCACTTATAAGAAGATATACGTTCATTACTTTCTTGCTATTTCGCTTAATGTTCATCAGAGTTGCTTTATCATTTGCTATTCTTATTATCACACCTCGAGACTACCACACGTCGAGGTCGAGATTTGTCTTGTATACTGGTTTGATTTATTTTATTCTCCAATTTATCTATTTAATTTCTTGTTTATCAATTGATACTGGATTGAATTACATATCCTTAAAATCACAATATAAGTTTAATTGTTACTCAAATTTTAGGGTAAACAGTTTGGTGTCCACCATGGGGATAAAGATAATAGTGATTGTTTAGTGCTGATTCTGATAACACACATTATTTCACACTTGTTCTTGTCAAGTATTTTTGCTCTTAGGTTAAAACATGTCAAACTCACTAAACGCACATATACATGGTGATGATGGCCTCGGATTTCACAGAGTAAACAACAATGTAATTGCTCCAGGTGCCGGGGTGCCACCGGTAATCTCGAGAGAGAACCAGTTGCCGATCCAGTCGATGTCAGCTCGCACGTTACTCTAAATGCGGACCTAGGCACAGACCCCGAATGGAGTGTACGCAGGGAAGGCCGATCTGGTGGACAAGGTACACAGGGCAGAGGAGATGGAGGAGTTAGTCTCCAGGTGATATTCGATATGCTACAGGCTCAGCAGGACGCTATTGCTCAGTTGCAAAAGCAACATAGAACTCCAAGTAGGGTCGAGCCAGAAATCACTCGTCGTACAGAGCCACTGTTAGAAAGGTCGAATGGTAACGGATCATGGACTGATCCTGCAATAATGAAAATGCTCGAAGAGCTCACCAAAAGAATTGAGTCAGGAGAGAAGAAAATCAAATATAATGATTAAAAAGTGAAAACATACAACTCCCGAGTTGATTAGATACCGGGAGCACCCCCGAACCTAAAGGGTTTGGATTCGAAAAAGTTCGTGCAGAAATCTTTTCCTCAAAGTGTGGCTCCGAAGCCCATTCCTAAGAAGTTCCATATGCCGGACATACCTAAGTACAACGGGAATATCATTCCTAATGAACACATCACTTTGTACACGTGCGGAATAAAGGAAAATGATTTAGAAGATGATGAAATCGAATATGTGCTACTGAAAAAGTTTGGAGAAACTCTTTCAAAGGGAGCAATAATTTGGTATCACAACCTGCCACCAAATTCCATTGACTCATTTGCCATATTATTGTTAGCAGATTCTTTCATAAAGACACGCGCCGGGGCCATAAAGGTCGCAAAAAGAAAATAGAACATTTCCAAGATAAGACAAAGGGATAACGAAATGCTGAGGGAGTTCGTATCCCGATTTCAAATGGAACACATGGAGTTGCCACTGGTCACAGATGACTGGGCCGTTCAAGCTTTCACTCAAGGGTTGAACAAATGGAGTTCAATAGGATCACTTCAGTTGAATCAAAATTTGATTGAGTATCCAGCTGTGACTTGGGGAGATGTGCACAATCGATATCAATCAAAGATCAGGGTCGAGGATGACCAATTAGGAGTCCCTTCCGGTTCAGTACATCCAAATAGGTCAGCAGTTAAAACCCCAAGGGACGTCGACAGAGAGCTAAGGTCGAACAGAGAACGATATCAACCATATACCGTAGATCAAAGGAACAATAGTTCAGGATGCAATTCCGCCGAGAATGATCGAAGAAGTGATCGAGGACAGAATTCTCGGGGACTTATGAGCAAAAGTGGTTTTGATAAACATGTTGATCCCACAGAGGCACCTCGGTTATCGAAACATAACTTCAGCATTGACGCGTCGGGCATTGTATTGGCAATCGAAAGATCAAAGATACTAGGTGACCCAGACCCATACAGACCGATCCTTCCCAAAGAAACCCAAATTTGATATGCAAGTGTCATGGAACGCATGGTCACAAGACCGATGATTGCAGGCAATTGAGGGAGGAGGTATCTCGAGGGCCTCATTCGAGAGTTCCTCAGCGATCAATCCAAGAATCATTTTAGATAAAGGGACGCCAACAAGGAAAATGAACAGGAGGAGCCCCAGCATGTCATTCATATGATCATCGGTAGGGTCGACATTCCATAGGGACCCATATTCAAACGCACTAAGGTATCAATCATTAGGGAAAAACGAACACGAGATTATGTGCCCGAAGGCTCCTTATCATTCAACGACGAAGAAGTAGAAGGCATTTCGCATCCACACAATGATGCTCTGGTAATTTCTATCTTATTAAATAAAGTTCAAGTTAAGCGTGTTTTAATGAATCCAGGTAGCTCGGCGAATATCATCTGATCGAGGGTCGTTGAGCAGCTCGGCCTACTAGATCAAATCGTGCCCGCAGCTCGGGTCTTAAACGGCTTTAATATGGCCAGTGAAACAACTAAAGGGGAGATTATTTTATCGGTAAACATGGATGGAACCATTCAAGATACCAAATTCCACATTATCGAGGGCGACATGAGGTACAATGCCCAACTCAGAAGGCCTTGGATCCACAATATGAGGGCAGTCCCTTCGACTCTCCACCAAATGATGAAATTCCTGACATCGGATGGTGTAAAAATAGTATACAGGGAGCAGCATGCTACAAAGGAAATATTTACGAGCAGGGAGCAGCATGCTGCTGCAAAGGAACCAACCTTCGCCATTTCGGAATCGGGGACTTAGTTCTGAGTAAAGTCACTCTCAATACTCGAGACCTGAATGAAGGAAAACTAGGCCCAAATTGGGAAGGACCATATCGAGTCCTCGATGTCATCGGAAAGGGATCTTACAAACTTGGCACAATGGAGGGCGAACAATTGCCAAACAATTGGAATATATCACTCCTCAAATGGTATTATTGCTAAGGTACAACTTTCCCCCTTCCATTTGTATTTGATACTAACTTATTATTGCAGGTTTTCGATCGAAGACGTCGAGAAACTTTTCAACACGAGGACCTAAGGTTTTAAAGCACGCGTTGCACTCTTTTTCCCTTAGATCATTTTCTATCCCTAATGAGTTTTTCCGGTGAGGTTTTTAACGAGGCAATAGTGCTACCTGAGGAAAATCCAACAGTATCCAAGGCTTCTTTAAAATCAACCTAGAATACTGGGGGGCATCACCCTCGGATGTTATATTTTTGAGGAAAGTACTTCTTGTCAAAGGGTCTCGATAGAGAAACTTTGTAATGGGCCAAACGGTTGAATGAACTGTATCCATATAGACTAGTCGAGCCCCGATGGCAAAACATGTACACATGTATAAATTATTCAAAGAAGCATTTTTTCTATACCAAACATCTTGTGTCTAAAAGAAAATTTTTACTATACGAGTTTCATACTTATGATTTTGTGAGAAATGGCTCAAGGGCCAAGCGCAAATATGCCTTGAACGCTCGGGGACTATCGTCGACGATCGACATAGTCGAGTTATCTAAATTCGAATTCACAAGACCTCAAAGAGGCACCCCTCGATCTATAGGCCAAGGCCATCATTATCGGGGACTAACATGTTACACCCCAAGTTTTCATACGTGAGAGTACGTCGTAAGTCATTGATGTAAGCTCGGAAATGAGATTATATTTGGAAGAAAATAAAGTAAGTTAATCATGTTACCTTGGAGGTTACAAATATTTAAGATCATGAATAACGAGTACCAAGAGGGTTGGAAATCTTAGAAGCTAAACCAATTGAAGAAAATAAGTTTCGTCGAAAGTCGACAAGTTTCGAATGTTATAACATGTACTTTGGGGTGAGACTAGGGTTATTAACATGATAAGGAGGTTATTCTATGAGTTATTTTAGTCGTATGATATTCATTTTCTACATTTTGAAGGCAAGCAAGTTGTGGAACAAGAGTTGGCAAAGGTCATCACAAGTTACATTCATAAATTTGCTGAAATTTAGGTCAAATGTATCTGAGAATTTCTCCAAATATACTTGAAATCATGGGGTGTTCTACCTACCAAATTGAATTCCTACGAGTCTAGTTTCTAATGCATTAAACCGTTCGTCAATATGACATTGGAATAGAGAGATATTTGCATTTTCGCGAGACCGCGCAAGCAGCTCCCAATGGGACCCACTTAGGCGGTGGTTGACCTACTTCAATTTATAAACGATTTGGACGCCTATTTTTACTCATTTTTCAACTAAACTTCATCTCCAAACCTCTCCTAACCCTCCTAAACATATACCACAAGGGTTTGAAGTGATTC